GTGGAAGTTTCACATCATCGCCTGCATGTGCAGACCCCCAGGACTCCCGGACCCCTCCATCCTCTGCAGAACCTGGCTTTATTCTCTGATCTGTCCCTTTGAATTCTGCTCCATGACCACAATCTTTTCAAGGGTCTCTTAAAGACCCGCCTTTGATTGCGGAAAGTGCAATCCAAACTGAAGTGCGTTTCTCGCAAGCATGCCTGACTCCATGGCTGCCTCGCAAGTGTGGCGTCCCTTCAGCCGTGCCAGGCAGTGAGCCTAATACAGTGAAAATGTGATCTTGCATTTCCAGGGATAATAAATAAATTGGTTCACGGTCCAGTGTGTCCAAGTGGTTTTTGTGGAACTCAGTTGCCAGAGAAAGTAATTATTTTGGGTCTATCTCAAGTCAAATGTGCGCTAAGAAATGTACCTCTGTATTTCATCACATTTCAGCGACTGCGTGATTTTATAACAAACCTCCCTTTAGGTACACTGTCGGTAGAAATGCATTTTGTGATTCAATCCTTTTACTCCAAACATAAATTGTAAAAATTACAGGCCCTGTATAGGCAGTCAAATGCCTCATTAGACAAGACAACATCTTTAAGATGTTGGTTTTCACTTTTTATAAGCAATATACTATAAGACCTATTTAAGACCAAGTAAAGAAAATTTAAGGGATAAATTGAAGGCAACAGAATACGTCAATAAGTTATCAAAATGTAAATTTCTAGAGAGCACACAATGAGTTGTATCATCACTTTTTAATTCAAATATTGAATTAGTGCTGTCAAATGATTAATCGCATCCAAAATAAAAGTTTTTGTTTACATAATATATGTGTGTGTACTGTGTATATTTATTATGTATATATAAATACACACATAGAGTATATCTTTTTAAAAATATTTACATATATAAGTATGTATATAAGTATATACATTTATATTTTTCTATTCTTATATTTTATATTATACATAAATATATTTAATATATAAACACAACATATATACATAATAAATATACACAGCACACATACATATATTATGTAAACAAAAACTTTTATTTTGGATGTGATTAATCATTTGACAGCACTAATTCAATATTTGAATTAAAAAGTGATGATACAACTCATTGTGTGCTCTCTAGAAATTTACATTTTGATAACTTATTGACTTATTCTGTTGCCTTCAATTTATCCCTTAAATTTTCTTTACTTGGTCTTAAATAGGTCTTATAGTATATTGTTTATAAAAAGTGAAAACCAGCATCTAAAATATGTTGTCTTGTCTAATGAGGCCTTTGACTGCATATACAGGGCCTGTCATTTTTACAATTTTTATTTTGAATGTGATAAATCGCGATTAATTGTTTGACAGCGCTAAATAATTTCAATAATCGATTTTTAATAAAAAAAATAAAAAAGGCTTAAGGCTCGAAAAGCTCTGCTCAACATGATAGATTGTTAAAAAATAACTTTTATTATATCTTCTGATCACACTGCAAAGAGTGAAGTTTTTATACCTCACTGATAGATATTTGATCTTGTTTTAAACATAAACTCACTTAATTTTGTTAATTTTCTCAGAAAAACAAAACTACATATCTTCATTTTGAAGGAATTTTTGAAGGAATGTTTAGCGATGCATGCAACATTTAATGCCATGACTTTATGAATTTAAGACTTTTTGCTTTGACTTTTCAAGGCCTTAATTTGTGGAAGGATTAATTACAATTTTGCACAAGACAAATATATTCAAACAAGCATTGGATTTGCCCAATCATGTCGCAGATAATAAAAAATAATCATTGAGCAGAACATCTGTGAAGCAAGAAAATCTGACATTTGCACAAAGGAGTTCACGTGGTTACGAATTTGCTTATTAGATTAGTGACCCAGAAATAGTGGCTTTTCTAATTCATTTTATGACACAATGCTCCTTTGTTTTAAATTTGTCAAGAGCACAAAACAACAATGTTTATTTCCATTTTTAAAGTTAAATTCTGAATCCTAGATTTTCAACTTGGACCCCAAAATCTGTCCAATCCAGAAACTTCAATAGTTTTCAGATGTATAAACATTTACAATCTATATTTGAAAATGTTCACAATGCTTTGAAATACACAAAACACATTGGAACTTTTGTGACATTTCACTCTTGAAAAATATATATTACATCAGTTTGTAAGGAATTGCAATGCATGTGGCATTTGAAGTTCTCTATAAGCTGATGCTTTTATTGACATAGCAGTTATGAACTAATTCTTACCTCACAGTCATTCTGTCAGGATTGTGTGCCCATCACAACCAAATGACATGAACTCACAGCAGAGAACTTCCATCTAAAACACAGATGGATATTATCTCCATGGACATTATTGTTCCCAACCTATTGTTCCAACCAACAAAATTTGCCCTGTTTGTACACATATTTCTATTGTGCACTGTGTTAACATTTACATTTTCTTTTAAAATAACATTTACTATGAAGAAATAAACATCCCGTGCCCTCATTTGACCAGAGCGTTCTCTCCATTCTTCAGGGTTTCCTTGCCCGGCTTATCAAGAATTTACTGAGCATATCTGGGCAGCGGGCCACCTTTCCAGCACCCTAAAACCAACCCTTTTAATAGTCACTTCAAATCTTTTCTTTAAGCGTTTGGCTGAAAGTGCACTTCCAGCGGTGCTTGAACTTAATCTCTAAATGCCGAGCCAATCACAAAGCTGGAGAAAGTTGAAGTGTATATTTGAATAGGCAATTAACACAGCACTGCATGCTGATGAAGCCTGCTGAAGGAGTTTGTCTTTTATCGAACTACAATGAAAAGCATGTCCATCTAATGAGAACCTGCTCACACAGCAGTTTCCACTACCTACATCTGAGAGTAAGGAGCTATAGTCAAGGATTATTTATTATTATATTGGAAATAAATCAAAGCCATAAAACTTTTATTGACTTTTTATAAATACCTTTCCCCCCCTCAAAAAAAGAATGAAAATAAACGGCAGTTGATTATACTGTAAATGCTACTGCATGATATGCTAATTCATTCATTCATAAATTCCCTGTATATGAAATAAATAGTCAGACAGACAGACATAGATTATTTTTGATGTGTTATTGTGTCTCTGTGTATCAAATGCCACAAAATATTATTCCTATCAAAGCATAAAATGCACAAAGTCGACTTTTTGGGGATCTCTTGGTATCAATTTTATGTACTGATTCTCTGAAAATTTCTCTTGGACACAAAACATGAGAATATTTTCTCCAATAACATTCTTCATCATTACTATAATCTCATTTAAATCCGCTGCGGTGATTATTGATTTCTAAAGAGCGTAAAATTGTGCCTCTTTCAGTCTTTGACACAATCTGGGCAACACTCAACAGGACTGAACGAGTTTTCAATTCTAGAGAGAGAGAGAGAGAGTTGTTATAGTTCAGTCCCACAGAGATCAGTCCTGGCTGAAAAATGTTATGAACTTTGTAAAGAACCAACTATGGAGACCTATCAGACAAAATTTCAACAGACTTTCTACAAAAATAAGTATTTCTGTATTTTTTGCAGCATTTGCTGTCACATATAAAACACTGACATCCTCTGCCAGCTTGTAAAACTCCAAGAAGTAAACATTCAAAGAGCCTGTTAACCGCATTCTGTTAGCTTTCTAGATTTACTGTAACCACCATTTGCTGTGTCATTGTATATGCCGCCCATCTGATGCACTATTCTTAGCCTGTATCCTTCTTCTCTCCACTGCACCAATGTCTAAAGATAACTTATCAAAACCAGGCTTTTTCTATGCTAGTTTTGGAATTTTATTAATTTTTTATTTTTTTAAACAAGAGTTCATAATTCACTATATTATTCCATATTTGGAAAAAAATCTAATAAATATTTTAAATACATTGTGGACAATATATATATAGATATAGATATAGA